ATGTTCCGCGGGGTGAACGCAGAGTGCCAGGTGCCAACGGATGGCAACTGCCGGAATGGCGTCACGGCAACCTGGTCGATGATTTCTTGCGCCTCTGCTTTGGGTTCCACGACCGCGTGGTCTACGAAAAAATCCACGGCAAACGATGCAGGAGCCATGTCTGTGTTGGAGGTCGCCCTCCGTGTAGATGGCAGCAGTCCTGTTTGCGGTGCGACAGCGGCGGAGAGCCAGGTCCCCACCGACGGCAAGAAATGGAAAGGCTTCTCAGAACCTGGCGTCTCGACTGCCTGGACCGTCACGGCAACCACGGCATCTGTCTCCAACTCCAATTCCTGCACGTCTGTGCTGCTACCCGGCGTGGCACTCGCCAGCGTTGGCGTGGCCCCATACCGGGCCATCACGTTGGCAACGGCCCACATGGTCGACGAGCTCTCCGGCTGCTTCTGGGCTGGGTCTTGCCGAAGTACGGCACCCCCCTTGCACAGTGTTATCCAGCCCACCACTGGCTCTTCCAGAAGGGCGGACTTGGAACAAAGCTTCGAGATTTTGACGAGACGACCCTCGGGCAAGAGACCGACCACCTTCGAGTCCCTGCTTTTGGTCTCCCGGACTTTCACCGTCTGAACCAAGGTGGCCCAGCCGGCCTGCACCGCTTCCTCCACCTTGCGCCAAGACAGAGATGACATGATCAACCCCTGCCCCCTCCCCAAGGCATCGTCCCGTGCGACAGACGGATACTGCTGCATCCGATTAGGTGGGAAGTCCGCGACTGCTTGCCCGCCTTCCCGCTCCCGGCAGCCTTCCGCCCTTCTTGCGCCAGCTCCTCTGAACCGACCAGCTACGAACCAGCTACTATCTACTAGTATCATGATCATGTCTGAAGGGGCACGGAAGCTGCAGAAAACGATGCCTCGAGGCGGAACTTCTGCTCGAATTGTTTTTTGCCGCTGACGCTGCGCCGGCCCAGAAGCCGGGGATCCGCTGCGTCATCGCGGCAGACCGCTGTGGCCCCAGTGAGCGCCATGGAGCTCTGCTGGGGCCGATGAGGCCGAGGCAAAAGCTAGACAGCTACACTGCGTGGCACTGTCTGAGCTGCGGAAAAGGAACAGGGGATCTTCACGACATTCCGGACGAGGGTTTGAACATGGCGGCTTGCTGCGAGCTGCAGTGAAAAGTGGCACTCGTTTAGGCATCCTCGCACGATTACAGGACCTCCGAGGTAAGACAAGATGAGACAAGTGGCACCACAAAGCCTCTCACGGAGCGCCCGCTGCAGCGTCACCCAGAAGCTCCCACACTCAGAGCTCTCCTGAATCGCATCTGTCCTCGAGGCTGCCCTCCGTGAAGAAGATAGTGGCCTCCGCTGCACCACGGGGCGAAGCAGCGAAACAATCTGGTCGCCCTGCCGTCCAAGTTGCTCTTCGCTGATGTTCCGCGGGGTGAACGCAGAGAGCCAGGTGCCAACGGATGGCAACTGCCGGAATGGCGTCACGGCAACCTGGTCGATGATTTCTTGCGCCTCTGCTTTGGGTTCCACGACCGCGTGGTCTACGAAAAAATCCACGGCAAACGATGCAGGAGCCATGTCTGTGTTGGAGGTCGCCCTCCGTGTAGATGGCAGCAGTCCTGTTTGGGGTGCACCAGCCGCGGAGAGCCAGGTCGCTACCGACGGCAAGAAATGGAAAGGCTTCTCAGAAGCTGGCGTCTCGACTGCCTGGACCGTCACGGCAACCGCGGCATCTGTCTCCAACTCCAATTCCTGCACGTCTGTGCTGCTACCCGGCGTGGCACTCGCCAGCGTTGGCGTGGCCCCATACCGGGCCATCACGTTGGCAACGGCCCACATGGTCGCCGAGCTCTCCGGCTGCTTCTGGGCTGGGTCTTGCCGAAGTACGGCACCCCCCTTGCACAGTGTTATCCAGCCCACCACTGGCTCTTCGAGCTGGGCGGACTTGGAACAAACCTTGGAGACCTTGACACGACGACCCTCGGGCAAGAGACCGACCACCTTCGAGTCCCTGCTTTTGGTCTCCCGGACTTTCACCGTCTGAACCAAGGTGGCCCAGCCGGCCTGCACCGCTTCCTCCACCTTGCGCCAAGACAGAGATGACATGATCAACCCCTGCCCCCTCCCCAAGGCATCGTCCCGTGCGACAGACGGATACTGCTGCATCCGATTAGGTGGGAAGTCCAGCGACTGCTTGCCCGCCTTCCCGCTCCCGGCAGCCTTCCGCCCTTCTTGCGCCAGCTCCTCTGAACCGACCAGCTACGAACCAGCTACTATCTACTAGTATCATGATCATGTCTGAAGGGGCACGGAAGCTGCAGAAAACGATGCCTCGAGGCGGAACTTCTGCTCGAATTGTTTTTTGCCGCTGACGCTGCGCCGGCCCAGAAGCCGGGGATCCGCTGCGTCATCGCGGCAGACCGCTGTGGCCCCAGTGAGCGCCATGGAGCTCTGCTGGGGCCGATGAGGCCGAGGCAAAAGCTAGACAGCTACACTGCGTGGCACTGTCTGAGCTGCGGAAAAGGAACAGGGGATCTTCACGACATTCCGGACGAGGGTTTGAACATGGCGGCTTGCTGCGAGCTGCAGTGAAAAGTGGCACTCGTTTAGGCATCCTCGCACGATTACAGGACCTCCGAGGTGAGACAAGATGAGACAAGTGGCACCACAAAGCCTCAGCGACCGACACAGCACATCTCACGGAGCGCCCGCTGCAGCGTCACCCAGAAGCTCCCACACTCAGAACTCTCCTGAATCGCATCTGTCCTCGAGGCTGCCCTCCGTGAAGAAGATAGTGGCCTCCGCTGCACCACGGGGCGAAGCAGCGAAACAATCTGGTCGCCCTGCCGTCCAAGTTGCTCTTCGCTGATGTTCCGCGGGGTGAACGCAGAGAGCCAGGTGCCAACGGATGGCAACTGCCGGAATGGCGTCACGGCAACCTGGTCGATGATTTCTTGCGCCTCTGCTTTGGGTTCCACGACCGCGTGGTCTACGAAAAAATCCACGGCAAACGATGCAGGAGCCATGTCTGTGTTGGAGGTCGCCCTCCGTGTAGATGGCAGCAGTCCTGTTTGCGGTGCGACAGCGGCGGAGAGCCAGGTCCCCACCGACGGCAAGAAATGGAAAGGCTTCTTCTCAGAAGCTGGCGTCTCGACTGCCTGGACCGTCACGGCAACCGCGGCATCTGTCTCCAACTCCAATTCCTGCACGTCTGTGCTGCTACCCGGCGTGGCACTCGCCAGCGTTGGCGTGGCCCCATACCGGGCCATCACGTTGGCAACGGCCCACATGGTCGACGAGCTCTCCGGCTGCTTCTGGGCTGGGTCTTGCCGAAGTACGGCACCCCCCTTGCACAGTGTTATCCAGCCCACCACTGGCTCTTCCAGAAGGGCGGACTTGGAACAAAGCTTCGAGATTTTGACGAGACGACCCTCGGGCAAGAGACCGACCACCTTCGAGTCCCTGCTTTTGGTCTCCCGGACTTTCACCGTCTGAACCAAGGTGGCCCAGCCGGCCTGCACCGCTTCCTCCACCTTGCGCCAAGACAGAGATGACATGATCAACCCCTGCCCCCTCCCCAAGGCATCGTCCCGTGCGACAGACGGATACTGCTGCATCCGATTAGGTGGGAAGTCCGCGACTGCTTGCCCGCCTTCCCGCTCCCGGCAGCCTTCCGCCCTTCTTGCGCCAACTCCTCTGAACCGACCAGCTACGAACCAGCTACTATCTACTAGTATCATGATCATGTCTGAAGGGGCACGGAAGCTGCAGAAAACGATGCCTCGAGGCGGAACTTCTGCTCGAATTGTTTTTTGCCGCTGACGCTGCGCCGGCCCAGAAGCCGGGGATCCGCTGCGTCATCGCGGCAGACCGCTGTGGCCCCAGTGAGCGCCATGGAGCTCTGCTGGGGCCGATGAGGCCGAGGCAAAAGCTAGACAGCTAATTACACTGCGTGGCACTGTCTGAGCTGCGGAAAAGGAACAGGGGATCTTCACGACATTCCGGACGAGGGTTTGAACATGGCGGCTTGCTGCGAGCTGCAGTGAAAAGTGGCACTCGTTTAGGCATCCTCGCACGATTACAGGACCTCCGAGGTGAGACAAGATGAGACAAGTGGCACCACAAAGCCTCAGCGACCGACACAGCACATCTCACGGAGCGCCCGCTGCAGCGTCACCCAGAAGCTCCCACACTCAGAACTCTCCTGAATCGCATCTGTCCTCGAGGCTGCCCTCCGTGAAGAAGATAGTGGCCTCCGCTGCACCACGGGGCGAAGCAGCGAAACAATCTGGTCGCCCTGCCGTCCAAGTTGCTCTTCGCTGATGTTCCGCGGGGTGAACGCAGAGAGCCAGGTGCCAACGGATGGCAACTGCCGGAATGGCGTCACGGCAACCTGGTCGATGATTTCTTGCGCCTCTGCTTTGGGTTCCACGACCGCGTGGTCTACGAAAAAATCCACGGCAAACGATGCAGGAGCCATGTCTGTGTTGGAGGTCGCCCTCCGTGTAGATGGCAGCAGTCCTGTTTGGGGTGCGACAGCGGCGGAGAGCCAGGTCGCTACCGACGGCAAGAAATGGAAAGGCTTCTCAGAAGCTGGCGTCTCGACTGCCTGGACCGTCACGGCAACCACGGCATCTGTCTCCAACTCCAATTCCTGCACGTCTGTGCTGCTACCCGGCGTGGCACTCGCCAGCGTTGGCGTGGCCCCATACCGGGCCATCACGTTGGCAACGGCCCACATGGTCGACGAGCTCTCCGGCTGCTTCTGGGCTGGGTCTTGCCGAAGTACGGCACCCCCCTTGCACAGTGTTATCCAGCCCACCACTGGCTCTTCCAGAAGGGCGGACTTGGAACAAAGCTTCGAGATTTTGACGAGACGACCCTCGGGCAAGAGACCGACCACCTTCGAGTCCCTGCTTTTGGTCTCCCGGACTTTCACCGTCTGAACCAAGGTGGCCCAGCCGGCCTGCACCGCTTCCTCCACCTTGCGCCAAGACAGAGATGACATGATCAACCCCTGCCCCCTCCCCAAGGCATCGTCCCGTGCGACAGACGGATACTGCTGCATCCGATTAGGTGGGAAGTCCGCGACTGCTTGCCCGCCTTCCCGCTCCCGGCAGCCTTCCGCCCTTCTTGCGCCAGCTCCTCTGAACCGACCAGCTACGAACCAGCTACTATCTACTAGTATCATGATCATGTCTGAAGGGGCACGGAAGCTGCAGAAAACGATGCCTCGAGGCGGAACTTCTGCTCGAATTGTTTTTTGCCGCTGACGCTGCGCCGGCCCAGAAGCCGGGGATCCGCTGCGGCATCGCGGCAGACCGCTGTGGCCCCAGTGAGCGCCATGGAGCTCTGCTGGGGCCGATGAGGCCGAGGCAAAAGCTAGACAGCTACACTGCGTGGCACTGTCTGAGCTGCGGAAAAGGAACAGGGGATCTTCACGACATTCCGGACGAGGGTTTGAACATGGCGGCTTGCTGCGAGCTGCAGTGAAAAGTGGCACTCGTTTAGGCATCCTCGCACGATTACAGGACCTCCGAGGTGAGACAAGATGAGACAAGTGGCACCACAAAGCCTCAGCGACCGACACAGCACATCTCACGGAGCGCCCGCTGCAGCGTCACCCAGAAGCTCCCACACTCAGAACTCTCCTGAATCGCATCTGTCCTCGAGGCTGCCCTCCGTGAAGAAGATAGTGGCCTCCGCTGCACCACGGGGCGAAGCAGCGAAACAATCTGGTCGCCCTGCCGTCCAAGTTGCTCTTCGCTGATGTTCCGCGGGGTGAACGCAGAGAGCCAGGTGCCAACGGATGGCAACTGCCGGAATGGCGTCACGGCAACCTGGTCGATGATTTCTTGCGCCTCTGCTTTGGGTTCCACGACCGCGTGGTCTACGAAAAAATCCACGGCAAACGATGCAGGAGCCATGTCTGTGTTGGAGGTCGCCCTCCGTGTAGATGGCAGCAGTCCTGTTTGGGGTGCACCAGCCGCGGAGAGCCAGGTCGCTACCGACGGCAAGAAATGGAAAGGCTTCTCAGAAGCTGGCGTCTCGACTGCCTGGACCGTCACGGCAACCGCGGCATCTGTCTCCAACTCCAATTCCTGCACGTCTGTGCTGCTACCCGGCGTGGCACTCGCCAGCGTTGGCGTGGCCCCATACCGGGCCATCACGTTGGCAACGGCCCACATGGTCGACGAGCTCTCCGGCTGCTTCTGGGCTGGGTCTTGCCGAAGTACGGCACCCCCCTTGCACAGTGTTATCCAGCCCACCACTGGCTCTTCCAGAAGGGCGGACTTGGAACAAAGCTTCGAGATTTTGACGAGACGACCCTCGGGCAAGAGACCGACCACCTTCGAGTCCCTGCTTTTGGTCTCCCGGACTTTCACCGTCTGAACCAAGGTGGCCCAGCCGGCCTGCACCGCTTCCTCCACCTTGCGCCAAGACAGAGATGACATGATCAACCCCTGCCCCCTCCCCAAGGCATCGTCCCGTGCGACAGACGGATACTGCATCCGATTAGGTGGGAAGTCCGCGACTGCTTGCCCGCCTTCCCGCTCCCGGCAGCCTTCCGCCCTTCTTGCGCCAGCTCCTCTGAACCGACCAGCTACGAACCAGCTACTATCTACTAGTATCATGATCATGTCTGAAGGGGCACGGAAGCTGCAGAAAACGATGCCTCGAGGCGGAACTTCTGCTCGAATTGTTTTTTGCCGCTGACGCTGCGCCGGCCCAGAAGCCGGGGATCCGCTGCGTCATCGCGGCAGACCGCTGTGGCCCCAGTGAGCGCCATGGAGCTCTGCTGGGGCCGATGAGGCCGAGGCAAAAGCTAGACAGCTACACTGCGTGGCACTGTCTGAGCTGCGGAAAAGGAACAGGGGATCTTCACGACATTCCGGACGAGGGTTTGAACATGGCGGCTTGCTGCGAGCTGCAGTGAAAAGTGGCACTCGTTTAGGCATCCTCGCACGATTACAGGACCTCCGAGGTGAGACAAGATGACACAAGTGGCACCACAAAGCCTCAGCGACCGACACAGCACATCTCACGGAGCGCCCGCTGCAGCGTCACCCAGAAGCTCCCACACTCAGAACTCTCCTGAATCGCATCTGTCCTCGAGGCTGCCCTCCGTGACGCGGAGGCCACTATCTTCTTCAGTGAAGAAGATAGTGGCCTCCGCTGCACCACGGGGCGAAGCAGCGAAACAATCTGGTCGCCCTGCCGTCCAAGTCGATCTTCGTTGATGTGCAGCGGGGTGAAGGCAAAGAGCCAGGTGCCTCGTCAAAGTCTCCAAGGTGTGTTCGAAGTCCGCCCAGCTGTCTTGTGGGCTGCGTCACACTATGCAAAGGCGGTGCCGTACTTCGGCAAGACCCAGCACAGAAACAGCAGGAGAGCTCTCCTGCTGCTTCTGTGATGGCTCTTGCCGAGGTACGGCACCGCCTCTGGAGAGTGTACCCAGCCCACAAGTGGCTCTTCGCTGGGCGGACTTCGAACAAACCTTGGAGATGCGGACCAGACGACCCTCCTCCAAGAAACGTATAGCACCTTGGAGTCGCGAGACTTTGTCTCGCGGACCATAGCAAGTTATGTTCTGCTAGTGTGCAGCTCCTGTTGACTTGGTCGCGGGTGGACTTCGTCGTGGCCACGGAGCGGGGAGATCGGATTGTGGACAGCACCTTACGTGAGAACTTTTCCCCACTGACATGTTGCAATCCGGGCTCCAAGACAGGTCGCCTGCTTGCCGATGGAGCTGAAGACTTTGTCCTCGATCGCAAGAGCCTCCGTCTGCCTGGAGGCACCGCGAACCAACCCTGACGTGCTCTACGACTACGACTTTACGGAAACTTCTTGGGATCCCTGCGTCTTCTCCCGGGGACTGCGGCCGGGCATCGTCCAGGCCTGCGAATCACACCGGGACCTCTGCCTCTGCACAATAACACAATACATACCCTTGCTTCCCTCAACCATCGTTCCCGAAAACCCCTCGAGCACCCATTCCCCCTCCATCCGCGCCGGCGCGGTGGGGCGCGGAGACATCGGCTGCTGGCCAAGGCTGGACGGCTTTGGGTGGGAGCCTTGGAGATGAACATGCTCTTGGGGCTTGCCCTCCCGTGACGCAAGAGTCTTGTCTGAAGCTCTGGCCCTGTGATCACGCTTCTCTAGGCTCGCTGCCGGGGCCAACCCGCGCCGGTGTGCTCGACTGCAAGAGCTGCACCCTGCAGGCAGCTGCAGGGCTTTCGGATCCAGAGCACAAGTCAGAAATTAAACCTCCAAGCCTTTGACGCGGGCACTTCTACCTTCCAGAGTCCTCCCCGCAAGCGTAGACCCTTCAGCCTTCTCGTACTGCGCGTGAAGTCGCATTTGCGAGGGAACCGGGTCTCGTCAGAGATGATACGGTACCCAGTTGTGGTAGTGGCTTCGGTACTTTGACCTTCTCATGGAAAGCCACCACCTTTACATCGCGGTGCCCTCACGATTGCCGAAAGAAATACACAGCAGCTCTTTACATTGCGGACAGCTTCCGAAACGCTGAATTCAGGCCCCAGCTTGTAACTTTCTCAACATCCCATGTTAAAGTTCGCCGTGCCTGGGTTCCGGCTTCCGTGGCGTCATGGACTCTGTGGGCCCAAAGGAGTAGGCAGGCCTGGTAGGTACAGTCTCTGATCCTTCCGAGACCCTTCACAGTCACGCCAATTCCCACCGTGTCCCAACCGCACCAGGGTGCGGGCACGCGCTTTGCCACCTCCTTGACGTGATACTCCAGGGCACTTGGGGACTCTGCGCCTGGGTGCTGAAGAGGCTACAGCGCAGCTGCCGGATGCTGTCGGCTTCGGGATGCTTCGGGTCGAATCTCAGATCTTGGTGCTTCGGGGACATCGGTGAGAGGACCCTTGCCGTCTTTCCGACCTCGGTTTTTGGCATGGATATGTGAGTCTACGGCTACAGTACTTGCAGCTGTGAATTGCCCGAACTGCAGCGAGCGAGGAATGCAGCAGCCCTTCGAGGGAAGCTGCGATGCAGACGCCAAACACTGAATGAAAAAGACCTCAACTCGACGCTACGTCTCGAGAGTAAGGAGCCGCCAACTCAACTCCCGGCTCTGGCAGTCGAAACTCTGTCTCTGTCTGCTCCGTCACATGACCAATGTATGGAATCGGAAGACATAGTGAGACAGTCTTGGGAACGAGACAAGCCACGGCACAGCACACCCTAAACCACAAAGCCCCTCAGGCCCTTAGCCCATTAACCCCCAACACGTGCTGAGGACGGCTCCCAGAGCCAACCCTGCATGAGTGCGGATGATCTCCGCATTCTTGAGGCTGAGCTTCTGCCTAGAAGCAACCCACTCAGCAAGAGCACTCAGGTCTCTGATAATATCCGCACGGAGAAAGCCTGCTGTGTAGTAGGGTTCCCTCCCACAGGACAGCGGGGGCCCGGACTTGAATCGTGAGCTCGAGACTCGAGGCCCTGGCTCAGTGCCGAAGTGGCAGCCCGGAGTCTTCGCGTACTTCACTTTCTGCGTGTCGACCGTGGCACCTGAGGTGAAAACGCAATGCAACGCCATGAATGCAGCGGAACCCCACGGCGGAGGTGGAGGCCCCCGCATGTCAGGTCCACGGTCGAGTCTGGATACTTCTTGGGATCGTGCTTCCTGTCGGCAGGGGCCGCGCTTTGAAGGCTCGAAGCAGAGGCGCGAGCTGTTTTAGAGCGCACCGCTGCACGTCGGTTCCGAAGGAGAAGCTCGGGGCTGCTCCCACCTTCGTGGCTCAGAGCGGGCTTTGGTCTCTACAAGACGGGCCAAGTCCGACACTGCCGAGGGGATGTCGTAGACTGGACCCGGGGAATTGAGCTTGGCCTCTGCGAGACATTGCTCAGACATAGACGGCTTCTGGGCTCTGAGCAAGAGCGCCGAACCTTGGACTTCTCCAGTTTTCTAGACATGAAGACTTTCATTCGAGCGCTTTCACGATCGCAAGTTCCTTAGCCACGCAGTTCTCGGGAGAGACAAGTCCCGGAGTCCCAGCCGTCGGAGCCCCGCACCAAAGGAATGAGCTGGTAGTGTGGGCCTCGTTGAATCTGCCTGCGCACCTAGCAAGAAGACCAATGCAAAGGCGCATACAAACTTCTCCAGCAAAGCCCTGGGCACCGGGCCGACAGATCCCACATGAAAAGAATCCTTCGTGCAAGCAACGCTGCAAGCGGCCCGGATTAGCGAAAGCTCTGGGCGTGTAGCCGGCAAGAGGGTGCTCATTGCCGATTTTGAAGCCTCAGGCTGCCGTGATGCCAGCTGATGAGATGACAGCATCTCTTCGACCACTGCGAACTTCAGCCGAGAAGCCGGCCAGAGGCCTAAATGGCGGATGCCTCCCTGTCGAGTCTCAGTCTAGGACTTAGGAGTCTAGGGGCCGAGAACCCTCGCCTTCTTTGCCTGAAAGGACTGGTAGCTGTGACCAGCAAGTAACTATGGAGTACCATCATGATTGCAAATTCAGAAAGCAGCCTTCCGACACGGCAATTAAATAATCAGGCCGCCTTTCGGCGAGGCCTTGAACAAGCAGAAAAATTGCTGCGGAAAGAAACAGGCAGGCTTCACGACAATCCGGACGAGGGTTTGAACATGGCGGCTTGCTGCGAGCTGCAGTGAAAAGTGGCACTCGTTTAGGCATCCTCGCACGATTACAGGACGTCCGAGGTGAAACAACATGAGACAAGTGGCACCACAAAGCCTCAGCGACCGACACAGCACATCTCACGGAGCGCCCGCTGCAGCGTCACCCAGAAGCTCCCACACTCAGAACTCTCGTGAATCGCATCTGTCCTAGAGGCTGCCCTCCGTGAAGAAGATAGTGGCCTCCGCTGCACCACGGGGCGAAGCATCTCGTTCTCAGGCTGCGAAACAATCTGGTCGCCCTGCCGTCCAAGTCGATCTTCGCTGATGTGCAGTGGGGTGAACGCAGAGAGCCAGGTGCCAACGGATGGCAACTGCCGGAATGGCGTCACGGCAACCTGGTCGATGATTTCTTGCGCCTCTGCTTTGGGTTCCACGACCGCGTGGTCTACGAAAAAATCCACGGCAAACGATGCAGGAGCCATGTCTGTGTTGGAGGTCGCCCTCCGTGTAGATGGCAGCAGTCCTGTTTGGGGTGCACCAGCCGCGGAGAGCCAGGTCGCTACCGACGGCAAGAAATGGAAAGGCTTCTCAGAACCTGGCGTCTCGACTGCCTGGACCGTCACGGCAACCGCGGCATCTGTCTCCAACTCCAATTCCTCCACGTCTGTGCTGCTACCCGGCGTGGCACTCGCCAGCGTTGGCGTGGCCCCATACCGGGCCATCACGTTGGCAACGGCCCACATGGTCGCCGCTGCAAGAGACCGACCACCTTCGAGTCCCTGCTTTTGGTCTCCCGGACTTTCACCGTCTGAACCAAGGTGGCCCAGCCGGCCTGCACCGCTTCCTCCACCTTGCGCCAAGACAGAGATGACATGATCAACCCCTGCCCCCTCCCGAAGGCATCGTCACGGATACTGCTGCATCCGATTAGGTGGGAAGTCCGCGACTGCTTGCCCGCCTTCCCGCTCCCGGCAGCCTTCCGCCCTTCTTGCGCCAGCTCCTCTGAACCGACCAGCTACGAACCAGCTACTATCTACTAGTATCATGATCATGTCTGAAGGGGCACGGAAGCTGCAGAAAACGATGCCTCGAGGCGGAACTTCTGCTCGAATTGTTTTTTGCCGCTGACGCTGCGCCGGCCCAGAAGCCGGGGATCCGCTGCGTCATCGCGGCAGACCGCTGTGGCCCCAGTGAGCGCCATGGAGCTCTGCTGGGGCCGATGAGGCCGAGGCAAAAGCTAGACAGCTACACTGCGTGGCACTGTCTGAGCTGCGGAAAAGGAACAGGGGATCTTCACGACATTCCGGACGAGGGTTTGAACATGGCGGCTTGCTGCGAGCTGCAGTGAAAAGTGGCACTCGTTTAGGCATCCTCGCACGATTACAGGACCTCCGAGGTAAGACAAGATGAGACAAGTGGCACCACAAAGCCTCAGCGACCGACACAGCACATCTCACGGAGCGCCCGCTGCAGCGTCACCCAGAAGCTCCCACACTCAGAACTCTCCTGAATCGCATCTGTCCTCGAGGCTGCCCTCCGTGAAGAAGATAGTGGCCTCCGCTGCACCACGGGGCGAAGCAGCGAAACAATCTGGTCGCCCTGCCGTCCAAGTTGCTCTTCGCTGATGTTCCGCGGGGTGAACGCAGAGAGCCAGGTGCCAACGGATGGCAACTGCCGGAATGGCGTCACGGCAACCTGGTCGATGATTTCTTGCGCCTCTGCTTTGGGTTCCACGACCGCGTGGTCTACGAAAAAATCCACGGCAAACGATGCAGGAGCCATGTCTGTGTTGGAGGTCGCCCTCCGTGTAGATGGCAGCAGTCCTGTTTGGGGTGCACCAGCCGCGGAGAGCCAGGTCGCTACCGACGGCAAGAAATGGAAAGGCTTCTCAGAACCTGGCGTCTCGACTGCCTGGACCGTCACGGCAACCACGGCATCTGTCTCCAACTCCAATTCCTGCACGTCTGTGCTGCTACCCGGCGTGGCACTCGCCAGCGTTGGCGTGGCCCCATACCGGGCCATCACGTTGGCAACGGCCCACATGGTCTACGAGCTCTCCGGCTGCTTCTGGGCTGGGTCTTGCCGAAGTACGGCACCCCCCTTGCACAGTGTTATCCAGCCCACCACTGGCTCTTCGAGCTGGGCGGACTTGGAACAAAGCTTCGAGATTTTGACGAGACGACCCTCGGGCAAGAGACCGACCACCTTCGAGTCCCTGCTTTTGGTCTCCCGGACTTTCACCGTCTGAACCAAGGTGGCCCAGCCGGCCTGCACCGCTTCCTCCACCTTGCGCCAAGACAGAGATGACATGATCAACCCCTGCCCCCTCCCCAAGGCATCGTCCCGTGCGACAGACGGATACTGCTGCATCCGATTAGGTGGGAAGTCCGCGACTGCTTGCCCGCCTTCCCGCTCCCGGCAGCCTTCCGCCCTTCTTGCGCCAACTCCTCTGAACCGACCAGCTACGAACCAGCTACTATCTACTAGTATCATGATCATGTCTGAAGGGGCACGGAAGCTGCAGAAAACGATGCCTCGAGGCGGAACTTCTGCTCGAATTGTTTTTTGCCGCTGACGCTGCGCCGGCCCAGAAGCCGGGGATCCGCTGCGTCATCGCGGCAGACCGCTGTGGCCCCAGTGCAAAAAGCTAGACAGCTACACTGCGTGGCACTGTCTGAGCTGCGGAAAAGGAACAGGGGATCTTCACGACATTCCGGACGAGGGTTTGAACATGGCGGCTTGCTGCGAGCTGCAGTGAAAAGTGGCACTCGTTTAGGCATCCTCGCACGATTACAGGACCTCCGAGGTAAGACAAGATGAGACAAGTGGCACCACAAAGCCTCAGCGACCGACACAGCACATCTCACGGAGCGCCCGCTGCAGCGTCACCCAGAAGCTCCCACACTCAGAACTCTCCTGAATCGCATCTGTCCTCGAGGCTGCCCTCCGTGA